AGGACAGGCTCTAAAACCACAGAGAAACCCTGTCTAGAAAAACCAAAAAAAAAAAAAAAAAACACAAAAGGGGGAGATGTAGCGTGCGGAGATGTATTGCGCGCCATGGCACTGTCATGTCGTGGGTGTGTCGGCACGGAGCCTGGGCGCCATTTGCTGTTCCATGTAAAACTTGGTAAACAACTTGTGCGCGTGCTCCCCCTAGCGCAGGGAGTCTTTCGATCTGCCCATCCCATCTGGCCAATCACAATTTAGCATGATCACTCCATTCTGGCCTGAGCCATTGGGTTGATGACATGTCAGGGCTTTGTCTGGCACCGTATATATTCTTCTGCTTCCACGGGGTCGGGGTCTTCTTGCCTCTCTCAAATTCTCAAGTGTAAGTGTTCCAATAAAGTGTGTTCTGAGAAGAATCCTATTGTAGTCGTCTCTTCTGCTGGCGGAAGAGGTGTGCCGCACCAAACAAAAGTAGCAGCCATGTGTGATGGCTCATAACTCTAATCTCAGACCTGGGGAGATAGAGGCAGGAGATCCATCTAAAGTTCAGCACAGCCAGAGCTAAATCCTAAGACCTGCTAAAAATGAAACAAATCACCACCGTAAAACCTAGGAAACAAACTATACTTCCAATGATAAACACTCAAAATATGCAAAATGTTAAAATTGAACAATTTTTGCTTTCTTCTACAGACTATCTGCCATGGTTATAATCTCTCCCAAAGTCATTTGCTAAAAGTCAGTTACTAAGCCGGGCGGTGGTGGTGCATGCATTTAATCTCAGCATTCGAGAGGCAGAGGCAGGTGGATCTCTGTGAGGTTGAGGCCAGCCTGGTCTATAAGAGCTAGTTCCAGGATAGGCTCCAAAGCTACAGAGAAACCCTGTCTTGAAAAACCAAAATAAATAAATAAATAAAAGTCATTTACCAACATAAAGCAATAGGAAACTGCTTTCTTTTCTTTTTTCCTTATAATTAAGTATCCCTGTCTACATAGTGAGTTTGAGGCCAGCATGGGATACACGAGACCTTGCCCTAGTTACTCTTCTGTTGCTGTAATAAAATATCATGACCAATGCAATTTATAGAAGAAAAAGTTCACTTTAGCTTACAGGTCCAGAGGGTTAGAGCCCATGATGATAATGACACCATGGCAGCAGGCAGCTAAAGCAGGAACCTGAGAGGTCACATCTTCTGCCATAAACATGGAGCAGAGATTAAACTGGAAGTGGGGGTTTTTATGAGTTCTCAAAGCCATCCCCCAGTGACATAGTTCCTCTAGCAAGGCTGAGCCTCCCATAACCTCCCCTGAAGAGTGCCGTTGACTGGAGACCTAGTGTTCCAATGCCTGAGCCTCATAAACAAGGGAGAGGGCTCATCAGGTAGAGGGCCTTTAGGGCAAGCCTGCTCACCTGAATTCTTTTTTTCTTTTAAACACTGCTTGGCCCATTAGCTCTAGCCCTTACTGGCTAATTCTGATATCTTGATCAACCCATCTCTAATAGACTGTGTAGCACCGGTCTTACCAGGAAAGATTCAGCATGTCTGACCTGGCGGCTTGCTTCATTGTGTCTGCCTAGGAGAGGGGAGCATGGCCTCTGAGCTCACTTCCTCTTCCTCCCAGCGTTCTGTTCTGTTTACTCCTCCCACCTATGTTTCAACCTATGAGGCCAAGCAGTTTCTTTATTATTTAACCAATGACCTTCCTCCATAATTTCCCCTTTTTCTGTTTAAACAAAAAGGAAAGGCTTTAACTTTAACATAGCAAAATTACATATAACAAAACAGTTATCAAGTAAAAATTACAATATTTACATCTATTTTATCTTTTTTCATAACTAAGGAAAACTATAACTATCTATATATTTTTTAACTCCATCAAAGACTCCAGAAGGATATAATATTACCTAAGTAAATGAGAAGTAAGCAACTTACAAAACTCTAGAAATCACAGCGACATCTTGCTGCCTGGACAGTCACCCAAAGTTCCTCTGCACCATTGGGGCATCCATCTTCGGCCTACAGTCCCATAGTTTCCAGCAGACTTTTCTATGAAGCAGGAAATTTCAAAGGCAGTCAGTCACTATCTGCTGTGTCCTGCAGAATGTCTCGCAGACTCTTTCATGAATCAGGAACACCGAAAGATCATCTCACCTTTAGGCAAGTTCAGTAGTCCTCTCTCTGCGGGTTCTCTGTGTCCAGTTTATGCAATAGTCCAGGCAAGAACAGTTTCTTGCCCAAATGGCTATCAAACTCCATAAGGATCCTCTTCAATGCCCATCTTCCTCTTGAAGTAGATTGGTGCTGCCAGGAGCAGAGTTTCTCATTGTCATGAAAATTCCTAATTTATTAAAACATTTAAAATGCCATATTCTATAATCTTTGAAAAATATGAAGAATACCTATCTAAAATATATCTATGTACATCTAGAAAATCTTAACTAACATGACTACAAGCTTGACTATTATTGATTATCCATTAACAACCTATATATATTACATTTTTAAGCGAACT